ACATGGCGACGATCGACCAAAAGTAAAAGGTTGTCGCTGCACAGTCGCGACGCGGACGATCGAAGGACGCAAGAAGACGCGACAGCATCATCTCAAGATGCGTTTTGCACTGATTTTTATGGCCGGCGGAAGCGCACGCCGGGCCTCGTAGCTCGTTAGATAGCTGACTATTGATTATGAATATATACACCGTACTATCACAACTTTAGTATTTTAAAACGTCCGAACGGGTTAAAGAAGGTTGTCGGTGGAGTGGCATGAGTGCTTGGAGGGGGATCGAGGTCGGAGCGTGGTTGATGGAGGCGAATAGGGTTAGGGCTGGGAGCACGCTAAGATGCTGAAGACGATCGTAGTAGCACTGAGCTTACGAGTCTACCAACGCTGCACCACGACCGACGTCTACAGTTTGAGCCTGCTCTCTTCTTGGACCGAGCCGAGTACTTACACGCAGGTAGCGTGTGCAAGTAGCTAATTCACCGCAGGCCTTATACAGCAGGCGTGACCCAGCGGTCCGCTCCTCCTCGTCGACACCGGGTCCGGATTCGGGTTTCGCGTCGCAAGTCACTTGGTCGCACTTGACGCATCGTCGACGCAGCGGTCACAATCCAATTTGCAGCGATGAGCTGAAACGCCATGTGCTCCCTCAGCATGGACGACGTCCGCGACATCGACGACTTGGACGAGCTTCGAGCGATCCTCAAAGCGCACCGCAAAAATCCAAGCGGCTCAAGGCGCAGGTCGCCGTGCTGCGCGCCGCCGAAATCCCGCGGGCCGTCCTTCTCTTCGACGACGCTGTCCTCGAGGGCGTCTCCACAGGCCCGGCCAATGCGTGTGGCACCAAGGACTATGCGAACGCGACGTTAATGTGCTTGGCGCACACGACGACCTTTGTCCGAGCGCTGTGCCACGAAGGCAAGCACTTGGTGACCAAGGACGTCCCCAACTCCTCGTCTCGATCCGCGACGGATCGGTCACGACGGCGCTGCAGACGGTGAACTATGACGAGTCTCTCGTCTGGGCCTTCGACAAAGGCAACCGCGAAGACGCGGCCAGCTACTTCCTGCATCTCATGGGTCAAGTGCAAGGCATTTCGGACGTGCCAGCGCAGACCCCCACGACGACGTACCTCCAAGGCGCCATCTGCACCGTCTGCAACATGCAATTCGAAACGAAGAAGGAGATCGATGTGGTCGCCATCGACGCCACCGAGCCGACCACCGCTGCGCTCGACGCCTTCATGGCACCCACGTGCGTCGACAAGCCGTGCGAGCACAAGTGCCCCGGAGCGACGACGCTGCACACTCTGCGAGGTTCTCGTGTCGGCCAAGGTCCTTGTCGTCAAGATCAACCGGTTCAACGGCTTTGGTAAGAAGGACATGAGCAGCGTCGCCCTCCTCGACCACGTCTCGTTCGCGTACCGCCTCTCGGCGTTTGTGGCCCACGAAGGCGAGAGTCTTGCCCAAGGCCAGTATGTGGCGCACGTCTGTGGCCTTCAGCGACAGTGGTTCCGCACCAGCGACTTGGACGTCATTGAAATTGCAACCGCGGAGGCCTACAAGACGGACGCGTACCTTACATATTTATATATATATATGAACGTGTTTCGCGTTATTTTCGTTGTTCCAAAGAGTTCGCATATGTCACGACTAGCAATCTCCTTCTTCTTCACTCGCTCGCCGGGCCGTGGCTGCGCAGGCGGCGGCGCGGGGGTGCGTCAAGCTCCGCAAATTCCTTCCACGCTTCGCGATCGACGGTAAAGCTACGCAGGTTGCTAAGGTCCTCGAGAGACGCCAGCGACTGAGACGGCGTCAACGACTGGAGGTCGCGGTGCAGGACGATCAGCAACGTGATCTTGGTGCGGCCTAAAAAACGGGCGCGTGCACGAATGGCTTTTTAATGTGCCATCGAGTCCGTCACGGCCTGCTGAGGTCCCCAGCATTTCTGTGGCTCAGGATTGAGATGGCATGTGTCTTGCCGCCGTCAGTAGAGCGTAGGCCGCGACCTGTCGGCCACCAAGGGCGAATAGGAGGATATGGCGATGAAAAGGTGTGCAGAGCACGACGACTGGCGCGAGCAGCCGCATGCAGCCTCGACGTTGAGACACGATTCGAGCGTTGACGGGATGTGCGTACACGTAGAGTGTGGCGGCAGCGACCGGAGCGTGGACGCGCCGTCGGATCGGATGGGACCGTAGTGCTAACCGTCCTGGACGCACAAGCGCACGACGTCGCGGCAGTCATGATGCTAGGCATATCGCGCCGTCGCTCGCAGCGTCGTCACAGGTCTTGGGAGCTTGGAGGAGGCGATCCCGTGGCCGACGTGCGAGAGAGGCCGTCGAGAAATTGGCCAGGGCTCCGCCCGAGGGCCGAATCGTTGGCTCTTCAAGCATAGATAGGCTGCGCCATACCTACAGCGACGTCGCGTGAGCACCTCGGCCTGAGGCCTGCGCACGGCTTGCCACGTACCATGTCCATGGGCAGGCGGCGATGATCGGTTCGAGAACTGCTGCAAGAACACTGGCGATTGGCTCGAAAGACACCTCGTGATGGCGTGTGCGTAGAGACTGCTGATGGAGTCTCGTCGAGCACAACGCAGCAGCGTCAGTGGTGCCCGAGGAGCCTCGGCGTCGTCTTTCTGGCGTCGTAGGTAATTACTATTGGCGTTCGCCATTTACAACCACAAACAACCATATTTAGGTGAACACAGGCCCGCCGCGCCGGCGGATCGACCAGAATGAAGTTTGAAAACGAAATCGCCCATACTAGCCAGAGTGCTAGACCACACTTTGGGAAGTCCAACATGCTATGTGGCGTCGCCGTGCGAGCTCTGTGGCGAGAGTAAATGACAGCGGCAAACAAATTGATGATGTAGTGTTCTTTTTCGCTATACTGAAATACTGTACGGGATACAAGGCCTCATCACGCAGCGGTATCGCGCGCATTTTGCCTCCCTCGGCCACATGCAATACACGCTTTCACATGATCAAAAAGAGATGGCGTCCTCGGTTTCCGGGACTTCGACGCATTTTCAACCAAACTTGCATGTCGAATTTTCTGAAAACCGACGCTCGGCAGTTCGAGTTTGGTGTGAGTGCCCAAGCAACGATGGCGACCAACAAGCTGGTAGCACACCGGGTCGAGACCCATTGCCAACTGTGGCAGCCAGTTTTACGGTCTTTGGAGCTCTGGAACCCTGCGATATCACGTGAAGTGTTTGGGCAATTCTGCCACCACCTCGAAAAATGGAAAATGGATTTGCGCGTGATTGCGCCACGTGCAGCGTCGGAAACGACATTTACGTCGTTCAACAAGTGTGTGGAGATGTATACCTGGCTGCTACGTGGCGCCGGCGCGTCTGTGGGCTGCGACTTGTCGTTGTGCTGAATGGATCTCACACTATTTAATTCACGACTCGTGAATCAAATCTTGTGATTAGCTAGAATAATCAAGAATTGAGCCAATAGAAACATCCTTTCCTGATCGAGTTCCAAGCTTTGGGCCTCGGCGCGCGCAATAGTGCGGAAGAAGACGCTGTCACGCATTGTCGTGGCTCCGTCACTCGGGCGACCGAAGCCAATGGGAGAAAGGCAACGCGCTCATGTGTTGTGTAGTTCCGCGAAACGCGCGTGTCCAGCGCTGGCTTAACACGACCAAACGTAATATCCATCTTTCTCTTCCACTGCAAATGGGATACATCTACATCAGTTTCACTTCCTCTCACAACGAGGTTTCCTACAGCCCACTCCGCCGGAACCTTGTTTATTTATACTTTTTCTATCAGTATGCTGCGTTGAACTTGTGTTTCATAGTGTGACTCCTCGTCGACACCGGGTCCGGAATCGGGCTTCGCGTCGCAAGTCACTTGGTCGCACTTGACGCATCGTCGACGCAGCGGTCACAATCCAATTGGCAGCGATGAGCTCAAACGCCATGTGCTCCCTCAGCACGGACGACGTCCGCGACATCGACGACTTGGACGAGCTCCGAGCGATCCTCAAAGCGCACCGCCAAAAATCCAAGCGGCTCAAGGCGCAGGTCGCCGTGCTGCGCGCCGCCGAAATCCATCGGGCCGTCCTCCTCTTCGACGACGCAGGGCGCGTCCGCGGGCCTACCCAACGCGTGTGGCACCATGGACTATGCGAACGCAACGTTAATGTGCTTGGCGCACACGACGACCTTTGTCCGAGCGCTGTGCCACGAAGGCAAGCACTTGGTGACCAAAGACCTCGCCCAACTCTGCACGATGGACTCGATATGGTTCGGCTCATGCAGCGCCGTCTCGACCGATCCGTCGCGGATTGAGAGGAGGAATTGGGCGAGGTCCTTGCTCATCAAGTGCTTGCCTTCGTGGCACAGCGCTCGGACAAAGGTCGTTGTCATCGTTCCTACCAGCCCACGCCCCGGAGCCTAGGATTTTTTGGCGCAAAACCTGCCGTCCTCGGAGGGTTAACGTCGCGTTGAGTTTTTTGCTCAGGCTAGCTAATGTCTACTATATATAATATGTAAACGTGTTCTGCGTTATCTTCCTTAAAATGAGTTCGCATACGTAGTGCTATGCCTGAATGCGTGGGAGTTGGCACCAGCACTTGGTCGTTGGGAGTGAGCTGCGCACGGAGAGATCCATCCCGTGGTGGAATCCACACGCCGAGGGTTAGCTCGCGCGAGGTCGTACGCAGGCTCCTCTACTCGGACCAGGGGTACACTATTACACTGCTCGCCATCGGTATAAGACACTCTATAACTATTTTTGTACAAAGACTATATAACCTCGGCGCGGCTCATGGCTTTGACAGGACTTAGATAAGTGGATGGCGCAACATCTCTTAAATTTTGAAGTCGATCGGTGTAAAACTGTGTGTGTGCCAAACCCATGTCTAAAAAAGCCATTTCTCACCGCGACATCGGTAAAAGACAAGGGGCATGAAATCCACGAAGAAAATCTATTAGATCGTCGTATTTAGCATTAATAGTGCGTCATGGCACCATGGTTGAGGATTACCTCGACGCAACGCGACTTCAT